CCGACTCCGCGTTCTTACGCGGAGGCCGTAGAGGGTCCCTACTCCTCTCAGTGGCAGGCAGCTATGGATGCAGAGATGGCTTCCTGGAAGTCCACAGGCACCTACGTTGACGCGGTTCCCCCTCCTGGGGCGAACATCGTCAGTGGCATGTGGATCTTCAGGGTGAAGCGGCCGCCGGGCTCTCCACCTGTCTTCAAGGCACGGTACGTTGCTCGTGGCTTCAGTCAGCGGCAGGGAGTTGACTACTTTCAGACCTTCTCTCCCACCCCGAAGATGACTACTCTTCGGGTGCTGCTGCACATAGCCGCTCAGCGCGACTACGAGCTTCACTCTCTCGACTTCAGCACTGCGTTCTTGCAGGGTAGCCTGCACGAGGAGATCTGGCTTCGCCGTCCACCTGGCTTCACTGGGACTTTCCCTCCTGGCACCCAGTGGAGCCTCCGACGGCCAGTCTACGGTCTCCGCCAGGCAGCGCGTGAGTGGCACGACACACTGAGGACTACGCTTGCGGCTCTTGGGTTTGCTCCTTCTACTGCCGACCCGTCGCTGTTTCTTCGCACCGACACTTCCCTGCCGCCGTTCTACATCCTCGTGTACGTCGACGACTTGGTCTTTGCCACAGCGGACACTGCTGGACTCGCCTACGTGAAGTCCGAGCTGCTGAAGAGACACACGTGCACAGACCTGGGTGAACTGCGCAGCTACCTTGGCTTGCAGATCACTCGGGACAGAGCACGCCGCACCATTACCTTGACTCAGTCACACATGGTGCAGCAGGTCCTTCAGCGCTTCGGCTTCACGTACTCCTCGCCTCAGGCCACTCCTCTGCCTACTCGCCACTCACTCTCAGCTCTGCCTTCGGATGAGTCCGTAGAGTCGAGTGGTCCGTATGCAGAGCTTGTTGGCTGCCTCATGTACCTGATGACCTGCACACGACCTGACCTTGCATACCCTCTGAGCATTCTTGCACGCTATGTTGCTCCTGGGAGACACAGACCGGAGCACATGGCTGCAGCGAAGAGGGTATTGCGCTACCTGTGCAGTACGTCGGGCATGGGGCTAGTGCTTGGAGGGCGGATTCCAGTGGTCCTTACCGGCCACGCGGACGCTTCTTGGGCTGACGACCAGGCTACGCAGCGGTCGTCAGAGGGTTACACCTTCAGTCTTGGTTCCGGCTCTGTCTCGTGGCGGTCTACTCGCTCGTCTTTGGTTCTCGGCTCCAGTTGTGAGGCTGAGATCTACGCCGGGGCCATGGCTGCACAGGAGCTTCGCTGGCTCACCTACCTGCTGACTGACCTTGGAGAGCCGCCTCGTTCTCCTCCAGTGCTGTACGTAGACAACAAGGCCATGCTGGCCTTGTGTCGAGAGCAGCGCTTGGAGCACAGAACGAAGCACATTGCTCTCCGCTACTTCCTTGCTCGTGAGCTGCAGCAGCGTGGTCAGTTGCGACTTGCGTACGTGGCCTCTGAGGCCAACACTGCTGATGTGTTCACCAAGGCACTCGCGCCTTGTGACCATCAGCGCTTTTGCACCCAGCTGGGTCTTGTGCCTGTCTTGCCTCACTTGCTCTCCTCTTGACTTCACTTGTACTGTGACATATATATATGCCTGCTCTTGCTTGTCTAGTTTTATATATATGTCTGTACTCCTGCATGTGAACTGGCCTCTGGCCCTACTCTTGTGCTCGGACTGTGTGGTGACTTTGTGATCCACCCTGAGCTTGCTTTGCTTTGCTTGACTGGTCTTGTGACCCCTTGTTCTCCCCCACTTTGCCTATGGGGGTGTGTCAGATTTATATGACATAGTTGTTGTAGGCTATAGTGGGGTAGCACATATGGGGTACAGGTTTTCTAGGGTTGTATTTGTACCCAATCTTTCCTTAGTCATTCATTCCTGTTTTTCTTTACTTCACATGCTCCAGCATCTCGAGACAGTGGGCGTCGACCTGAAGAAGATTTCCGGAATGTCCACGGACGGCGCGGCAGTGATGATTGGGGGCACGTCCGGCGTTGTCACGCGACTGCGCGTCCACGTCCCCCACCTCGTCGGCTGCCACTGCATTGCGCATCGGTACTTGTGTCGTGGCTGATAATTTTAAATGACCGGTTTTACGTTAGTCGATCTTTAAAGTAATGTAACAATCCTTTTCTGCTCACCCCACTATTGCTTGCAGCGAAGCACTTGCTGTGAAGGAGACGGCCGAAGCCGAGCAGTTCCAAGATCTTCGGATGGTAGACAAGGCCATCCGTGCAGTGGGCGAGATCGTGGGGAGATCCACGCCGTGGTACGAGCGGTTCAAAGAGCTCCAGATCGTGATCCACAGCACCAACCTCGAGCACCATGGACTGTTCGACGTGCGTTGGCTCTCCCGTGCCGATGCGGTCAACCGGCTTGTCAAGATTTTGGGGTCGACAATCGTGCTCTTTCTGGAGTACAAGCACAAGATCGCCTCGGTTGTGAAGACCCTGAAATTCCACTTCTGTCTGTATTTCCTGGCAGACATTTTGGGGGAGTTGAACTCCCTGAACCGTTTCTTCCAACGACGCAAGGTAAAACGTGCCCGAAAGGATTGTTGATACACTCGTTTAGCCTTGTTTAATTTTCATTTGCCCACACAGACTAACAAACCTTTTTGCGCACATGTCGGTGCGTCTGGTGGAGGTGATGCAAGTCACAGAGGAGGTCGACCGTGTGGTGTCCCTCATCGAGCACCGCTACATCGACTACGATGGTGGTTTCGGGGCGGGTCTGAGCCCCATCCTGTCTCCATTCATGGCACGTGTCAAGAAAGGGGACAACATGGTGAAGGTGGACGGCGTGGACGCTAGCGTCAAGCACACCTTCGAGCTCAGCGAGCTGGCGGACAAGAAGCACAAGTTCGGCGGGACGCTTGCAGATTGCGTGAAGTTGGGCAAGGCCTTCGCCCGTGAGGTCATGTACAACCTGAAGCACCGCATGCGAGATCTTCGTCGAATGGGCGGCTTGAAGCTTTTCAGGGTGGACAAGTGGCCAGCGAATCCGGACACGCGTGTGAGACGTTGTGCCACGTGGCTCCGCGAGAACTCTAAACTCTTCAACCACCAGCTGCAAGGTATGTGTATATCTTTTCGATCGTGTATGTGTGCTTTCCCTGAAATAATGCCTCTCGTCAATGTGTACCTAACATTTCCGTACATAAAAAACGTTGTGCTGCGCTTACTGTTTTGGCAGGATTCGAAATGCGGGCAGCCGAACTTGAGCTGAAAACTTTCTGCCACGTCATGAGGACGCACCATGAGGACGAGGACTTCTACCAGGCGCTGACGAACATGCTGAGGTCACGCGACTGGCGGCGAACTTACCCCAACATCATGACCCTGTGGCAGGCGTTGGCCGTCCTGCCACTCAGCACCGTCGAATGTGAGCATGGATTTTCACGACAGAACATCATCAAGAGCTGGCAGCGCACGGCTCTCAACGACACGCGGCTCACCAAACTCATGAGCATCCACATGCTCGATTACAACGTGGAGTGGCCAGATGTCGTGGACATCTGGCGCAAGCAGAAGAAGAGGCGGCCTACAAAATCCCCTGCACCCTTCCAACCAGCCAATGACAAGGGCGGGCCAGAGGCTAGTTGGGACGACGAACGGGAGGATGACGTGGCTTACGATGAGTGAGCTTGTGGTAGTAGGTCATTGTGTACAAAGTTTAAAAAATTCAATAATTCTGGCAATGCAACAGCAATAGCAAACAATGGGTAACCACCAGGGTTACAGATGAAAGTTACTCTGAAGTAACAGGGTTTTTAAATTGACAGCACGTGTTACACTGACATTTAAGAGCAACGCTCGCCAGCCACTCTGGATTTAAGGGTTAGGCCAAAAACGCCTCTGGAAACAAGAGTGCTCCAAAACCAAAAAAAAGGCCTGGTCGGAATGCTATTTCGCCTCGCTTTGTATGTGTGGGTGGGAGTTCGGCTGGTAGGTGGGGAAGAGACCTCTCGGGTTACCGACTTCGAGCAGTGTGTTAGAATATAATGCTTGTCTAGCCTGCAGTGGGGTACTCTATAGCGAGTACAACCCCTTAGGGTTTCCTATTTGTATCCACCTGCTTGCTAGTGCAAAGCCCTCCTTTTGTTCATTTCTCTCTTGCCTAGCTAGCTAAACCCTAGCTATGGCTCCTCACTATGCTTCCTCATTTCTTCACACAGTGTCGCAGCTACCCGCCTCATCCAATCAAATGTCCTCGTTGCAATGTTGCGAACTATCGCTGCTCGCCTCGCCAGGCAACCATGTCGTTGCGTGGCGAGAAAGCCTCACTTGGAGGTGCTGCGAAGCTGGCGACGCAGCCTTGCTGGCGAACTGGGTGGAAGCGCACTAATGAGGGAAAATATGATGGGGTGATGGGATGCGACGCGATGTCATCAAAGTCTTGCCTGTCGTGACAGTCATGTGCGTATCACACCGCCTGGACAACAGAAGTCGTTGGGGTATACTTGACTCACAAACTTCTGAACATGTGACATCTCATATTCGATAATATCTAGCGGAAAGGCGCTGTACATCTCCCCAGAAGGGCGTGAGTACAGATACAATCACATCACACTTCATACAACAAAATCACACTTAATGTGCTAGATGCCTTTTCTTGCCTTAATTCCTTCACTCTCTCACATTTCATCATATCCTTCACCCTCTCTCAAACCCATCTACCTTTGACATATTTTCTACTTTGTGCATATACAGATTACAAATTCTTATATTCCTTACAGCAATAATAGGGCATGTATGTAGCACGTTTGCAAATTTGCACCAGGTACTAAGGTTGCTGTAACATGTGCTTGTAAGCCACCGCATTGTCGTGCTCATACTCTGTACTCTGCATCTCCATCATCCTGTGGCAGAAAATCGGTCAAAATAGGTAGGACAGTAAGAGCTGAGCATAGAAACAAAAAGGTGGGAACCATGAATTGGTGAATACACTCTATTCGCCTGCAAAGGGAGTCGTTGATTGCTGCCTCACCTGCTGACTGTGCGGTCCTTGGCGAATCCCAGCTCGTCATCCACTGCCACATCAGCATCCTCGGATCTCGCTGACCTGGCAGCTGTCCTACGTGGCGCATTTGCGATGGTAACCACACGCTCAAAGAGCTGAAAGGGGGTGCCCTCTGCTGAGCAGACGAGACGGGTCTTGTGCTCGTACATCACCTGAGCGGGAGGGGAAAGGGGGAAAGGGAAGAATATGACTCCTTAGAACTCACAGAAGCTCATCCAAGAGAGTGCCCTCTGCTGAGAAGACCAGGCGGGTCTTGTGCTCGTACATCACTTGGAAGGGGGGGGGAAACGGGAAGGGGGGAGGAAATTGACTCTTGAGCAATCACAGAAGCTCATCCAAGGGGGTGCCCTCTGCTGAGCAGACCAGGCGGGTCTTGTGCTCGTACATCACCTGGGGAGGGGTCGGAAAGGAAGGAGGGGTGGGGCGGGAGAGTAAGGGGTAGATGGGTGGTTGGGTGATAAGTAACAAACCAAGATCCAGAGACAGGTTCGAGCTCAACTCAAGGCGCGTCTTGGGCTTGTGTCGCACTTGGAGAAAAAGGGATTTAGTGGGGGGAAAGTGGGAGAGGGAGAAGGGGGGGGGGTTGGGTGGGTTGTGGTTGAATCTACTTTTGACGATTCTCAAAAGCTCAACAGGAGTGCCTTCTGCTGAGCAGACCAGGCAGACCAGTGGGGTGGGAGAGGAGAGGGGGGTCGGTGGGAAGAAATAAGTCAAGGCCTAAAGACAAGGCCGAGAGTCACAGCAGGAGTAACTTGAGCACGAATCAAGCCAGGACTTGTCGCCATGCTCATGTGGGAAGAGGGGAAGGAATGAAAGGGGGAGAGGGCCAACTGGGGTAGCAGGCAGGGATGAAGCCTCAGCATATACAGAACTCGTATAGGTAGAGGGCAGGAGTCTGGTATATACACCCTCATCATATACAGCTTCATGCTAACGTCTGTGCGAGTCTAGTTTGGTGGGTCTCCTGCTCAATTGTGTGACCTGGTACCTCGTATAAGGTGGTATGCTAAGTGTAAAGTGACACTTTGCTAAGTGTGACGACTGGTGTGCCAGTGTTCCTTACTTTGGCACATGTCATCATGCCAATCAAAGTTTCCAGTCTTCACTCCACGATGCGAACAACACTACTGCTCACCAATCAATAACACTCGGCTTTCTGCCATGCTACTTTCACATATGTCATGTAGCATCATGTGACATATGTGCTACTCCCATCATGGATGCTATGTGGCTATGAGACATATGTCCACACATCCATGCAACTCACACATCATGTGCAGAGACGAACGAGGACAGGCTGATAGAAAGGAACCAGCGCTAGTAATACTCACTCACATCTATTAGAGTGATGAATCGATACGCTGCCCCTCTGTTAGACATTCCCGACACAGGACGGATAATATGCTGTGTGAAGGCCACTGTAACGAATGAAGTGGCAATAATGCAAGGCGCACTCACATCTATAAGAGTGACGAATCGATACGCCGCCCCTCTGTTAGACGCCCCAAATATGGGAATGCCCTCCATGGCTATGGTGTGAAAATTCTCTGAAAATAAAGGGATAGATTGGAACAATAGAAGAAATGAGAGGCATTCGATCTGTGGAGGCTGCAAACAAAGGAATAAAACAAACTGGAAAAGGGTCATCGAGTTTTGGAACGTCTCAAAACAAGTGAATGAGACATACTGGGAAGGAATATCGGGTCTATATAGGTCTCACAACGAAGGAACGAGACATACCGCAAAGGGATATTGGGTTTTTGGAACATGTAAAAACAAAAAAAAACAAAAAACCATTCTACCTAGAGTTCCTGGCTCTATTATTTTCTTTCTAGATGAGTTTCCTTCTCTTGTGTCAACGGCTTGCGGCGGCGGCTTTCGGCCGAGGGGCACATTTCTTACTGCAGAGGGCGAAGTAGTCAGCAGCACCAAGCGGCACCTCACAGAGCTCAAAGAATTTGACTGCCGCCACTCCCTTGGCTGCTCGTTGCACCTGATGGTGGGGGAGGGAAGGGCAACAATGGGATCGAATGAGTAGTCAGCAGCTCCGAGAGGCACCTTGCGGCTCCGAACGGCACCCTGCAGCACCGAGAGGCACCTTGCGGCTCCGAACGGCACCCTGCAGCACCGAGAGGCACCTCTCACAGAGCTCGAAGAATTTGACTGCCGCCACTCCCTTGGCTGCTCGTTGCACCTGATGGTGGGGATGTGGAGAAAGATTGGAATCAAGTGAGACAAGACAAGAGTCTGCAGCACCGAGAGGCACCTCACAGAGGTCAAAGAATCTGAGTGCTGTGACCCCCTTGCAGGAGGTGCAGAGGTTTCCGACAGGCTGCTCGTTGCACCTGATGGTGGAAATGTGGAGAGGAGGTGGAAAGGGGAGGAGGGGGGGGGGGGAAGTAGAGGAGGGGTGGGACACATTGGAAGCAAATGAGAGAGTAGTCTGCAGCACCGAGAGGCACCTTGCAGCACCGAGAGGCACATCACAGAGCTCAAATAAGTGCACTGCTGCCAGTTCCCTGATGGTGGGGATGGGAAGGATGAAGGGAGTGAGGATGAAATGCTACTCACACCATAAATGGCCAGAGAACTTCCACGTCCACAGGGCCCATCTGATAAAAGTGTAGTTTTGAGAGAACCAAGAAGCACCAAGATTGGAGAAATTCCACCAAAAGTGCCCAACTCCAAACCACACTTTTATCAGAGCACTTCCACGTCCACAGGGCCCATCCCCGCCCTTCCCATGATGAGAACAAAGGACCGAGAGTGGAGGAATGAGGAGTGAGAGCGAAGGGGTGAAAGAAAGGAAGTGCAAGGAGAAACAAGGAGACCAAGAGCCACTCACCCTGAGTTTCCTTCCCATAAGCACTTCAACGTCCACAGGGCCCAGGTCCGCCCCTCCCACCAGCAGCTCCACCTTCTTCCCCAGTAGCGCTGCCGCCCCTGTGCCTGTGAAGTACCACCCCTGCTCCACCTGCTCACACGGTGGAAGGGGAGAGGTTGGGGGAGTGGGAACGGAGGGTGGATAGTGTGGCGAGTTACATTCCTCTTCACTCTCAGACTCAGCAGCTCCGCCCCTCCCACCAGCAGCTCCAACTTCTTCCCCAGCAGTGCTGCTGCTCCCAGCCCTGTGAAGTACCACCCCTGCTCCACCTGCAGATGGAAAGAGGGAGCAGAGGGTGTATTCCCATTGTGCTGCAGTAGGAAGGCTGAAACTAGGATAGGGAGGTAATCCTTTTTTTTCCCTATAATCATTTAAATACTGGGAGCGCCAGTTCGCATAGTACTTAGCTGTTTCCCAAGTAATACCTACCACAGGATAATCGTCAAAACCTGAATGTTCATAATAATTTTCTACTTGGATATCTGCAATATGGTGAGGGAAGGGAGGGTGGGGTTGATTGAGGGAAGGGAGGGTGGGGTTGATTGAGGGAACGGAGGGTGGGGTTGATTGAGGGAAGGGAGGGTGGGGTTGATTGAGGGAACGGAGGGTGAGCAATGAGGTGGGTTTCATTCGTTCTTTTCCCGCAAGTATCCCCGTTACATTTTATCTCAAGCGCACTCACGCACACACTCGAGTTGACTTTTGATTCGACTCAAGAAGCAATGAGGTGGGTTACATTTGTTCTTCATCAGCAAGTATCGCCGTTCAATGTTAATCTCAAGTGCACTCACGCACACACTCACCGCTGTCAGCTACCTGTGGTCTCTGATTGACTCGACCTCATGCACCACACACTGGGCCTGGAACCATGGCCGCAGCCGTGTGTGTGCGCGCAGCTGTACATGCAGCTGTACATGCAGCTGTGCATACAGCCGTGCATGCACGCGGCTGTGTGTGTGCGCGCGTGCAGCACTATCAAGAGACCAATCAGTCACTGCTGCCAGCTTTCTGGAGTCCGTTACCTCGTCCACCACACACACACTGGGCCTGGAAGCAGGGGTGCAGCTGTGTGTGTGTGTGTGTGTGTGTGTGTGTGTGTGTGTGTGTGTGTGTGTGTGTGTGTGTGTGTCTGTGTGTGTGTGTGTGTGTGTTTGCCTGTCTGTGTGTGTGGTGGTGTATGTGTATGTGTGTGTGGTTGTGGGTGTGCATGAGTGTGTGTGCAGCACTACCCGAGACAACACTCACCGCTGCCAGCTTTCTGTAGTCAGTCATTGACTGGATCTCATGCACCACACACTGAGACTGCAAAAAGCAAGAACAGAGTATGGGGATGGCAGGAGCACGTGTTGACTTCAGTTCAGGCACCACAGCATGCATGGTATGCCAAGCATGGGCCAGCAAAGGGCCAAAGTCCTGACCAACCTGTTTCACGCTGGTTCGTAATTCGTCCGGCCTGAAGCCCGAACCAAGCCTAGTTTTGAGGCGCCTCAAAACTAGCCCGAACCAAGCCACATGAATTGGTTCGGGCAGGGCCACATGGCTTGGGTTGGGCCGGCCCAGCCCGTCCCACCTACCCTTTGCTTGTACCATGCGTGTGCTTGCTTTATTTTCTGCATCGTGTGGCAAGCACTTTTGGATTTACAGTGTTTCGGACTGACTCTACCACAAACAAGCAGCTGTAGCAGAGGAGCCAGGGTCGGAACCTCCCTCTTCCTCCCCTTCGCCTCCCCATACTTGCAAAGCCAAGGGGAGGCCGAGTGGAGGAAGAGGGGAGGAAGAGGTTCCTTGGAACCGGGGCGAGGAAGAGGTTCTTGCAAAGCCAGGAGGACGTGGTGTGGAGGGAAGGCGGGGTGGCGGCGGAATAGGTGTTTTGAAGCTAGCTGGTGGGGAAAGAGAGTAGGAGGTTACCTGCACTGCAAGGGAGAGGGGGTTCACCTGGAAGGGAGAAGCACCACCTGAATGGGAGCAATGGGGCACCTGAGAGGGAGCTGGGGCCCACCTGGAGGAGAGCGATGAAGGGGAGGAAGAGGTCCCGTTGAAGGCCGTTCTCGTAGAGGCGTATTGGGGGGCGGTTAGATGTTGCCACGAGCACCTGGAGAAACGACAGGTGTTGATGCATGGATAAAGTATGGATGAAGTTATGCAACGCCTCAGTGCTTGGTCCTGTTGGAGCCTCGTAGAGGCGTATAGGGGGGCGGTTGGATTGGATGTTGCTAGGAGCACCTGGAGATCATGGATACGAGTGGGATGACGGAAAAGACATGAGGGTACTGGTGGTGTGGGAAAAGGTTATGACACATCTCAAACCTGGGCTGATATGGAAGGACGTAACTCGCCAGTCGTCTGTCAAGCAGGTGCTCGAGGAGGCAGTTGAGACTCATGGCATTATGGAGGCTTTTGAGTCGACGCAGAAGTCGCCTCCGTATTGTAAGAGGGATTTAGGTAGCTTCTCACCAGTCGTCTGTCAAGCAGGTGCTTGAGAAGGCGGTTGAGGATCATGGCATCAAGACATCAGTGTCGCTAGCAAGGAAAACAGCTACGAGAAAAGAGTTAGAAAGGGAGGTAGCTACTTCCCAAGGCCTCTCACCAGTCCTCTGTCGAATAAATGCTTGAAGAGGCGGTTGAGAATCATGGCATCTGCAACGTCTGTTACCTGACAAGTGGTGGTTGGAGGGGTTGGGAGGGTTGCAGTGCGGGTCAGAGAGGCAGGGAGAGATATGGAGGAAGTGAGAAAGATTGGAGGAGTGTAAGGTGGTGAAGGCATGCAGAAAAGGAAAGAAATGGCAAGCCGCAAGCATGACAACAGCAGGAGCTCACCTCACACGACATTCACTACAAGTTCCACACATATTACGAAAACATTCAAACATTAACTCATCCATGCTTTTTCATAATGTTACTGCTTTGCACTCCAGTCACCATGAGCTCATTCACGCACAAAGCATTCGTTACAAAGGTAATTTCGTTAACCATCACCCCCAAGAGGTCAGATGTGCCGTTGTGACTTTAGCGAACGCAAAAGTCACCCCATGCTGCATGCATCATAAAATCACCAAGACATAAACTCCTGTTTCTGATGTGATCTCGTTCGCCACAGTTTTCAAGTGGCAAGACAAGCATTTGTTATTTTCTGTCATTCTGTGCAACACTCACCATAAACTCATCCAATCACAGAATTCTCCTTTCAGACGTGATTTTGGTAGCCACGACCTCCAAAGGATCAGATGTGCCCTTGTGACTTTCTAGTCGACTCAAAGCTCACCCCATGCAACACTCACCATAAACTCATCCAAGCACAGAACTCTCGTTTCAGACGTGATTTCGGTCGCCACAACCTCCAAGGGGTCGGACGTGCCCTTGTGTTTCTGCGAGGAGAGGAGAGGGAGAAGGCGGAGAGCAGGACATCAAGCCTTATCCAGAGGCAGCAACAGCAAATTGTCCTTTGAAAACAGAAAATGATCCTTCCAGAGGAATACAGAGAACTCTGCAGGGAGCTGCATACGTGGCCTCACTGCCTACGTGGCAAGACTTGCCTGCAGTCTGGAGTGCACTGAGAGCATGAAGTCGTGGTAGTGAATCCTCGACTTGGTGATCCACTCGGGGCTGACGAGAGGGAAAAACACAAGGGGGACGAATGGTGAACATGCATCAACCAAGCTGCTCGCAAGGCACTAAGAGCAGGGAGTGCACTGAGAGCACGGAGTGCACTGAGAGCACGGAGTGCACTGAGAGCACGGAGTGCACTGAGAGCATGGAGTGCACTGAGAGCATGGAGTGCACTGAGAGCATGGAGTGCACTGAGAGCATGGAGTGCACTGAGAGCATGGAGTGCACTGAGAGCATGGAGTGCACTGAGAGCATGGAGTGCACTGAGAGCATGGAGTGCACTGAGAGCATGGAGTCGTGGTAGAGGATCTTCAACACTCACAGCTCGTGGAAGAAGAGGTCCATCATCATGGTCTTGCCTGTGCCCACGCCGCCCCACAGGTACAGCCCCCTCATGGGAGGGTGGCTCTGTGGTTTCCGCATGAACAGCGACCAGAAGGCCGGCCGCCGCTTCCTCCTGCCACAGGTTTCGGGAGAAAATGGGGATTATGGGGGGATTCTCAGAGAGGCCTTAAAGGACTACAGGCAAAGGCCCCTCATGGGCGGGTGGCTCTGTGGTTTCCACATGAACAGCGACCAGAAGGCCGGCCGCCGCTTCCTCCTGCGCGGTGTTGGGAGTGAATGGGGACGATGAGGTATATTATACACAGAGGGGCTATGGCGAGGGCAGGTAAAGCCCTCTCCTGGGCGGGTGGCTCTGCGGCTTGCGCATGAAGAGCGACCAGAAGGCCGGCCGCCTCTTCCTCCTGCTTGTTGTTGGGGAAGGGATGGGAATGGATGAATCATTTCCAGCGAGGCTTTAAAGAACTACAGGGAGAGGCTTTTTAGGAGGAAAGAACAACATGTGAACTGAAAGATGCTGGAAAGAAGAAACAATGGTGAAAGTGACGGTGGAGAGGTGGAGAACGGAGCACGCTAGAGAGGGAGGAGGGGAGGGAAGACGGGAGTAGGGGAAGGGGAAAGAAGGGGGGAAGGAGGAGAGGGGATGTAGAAGGAGAGGGAAGTGGGGGGGAATGGGGGGAAATGGGGAGAGAATGAGAGAGGAGGAGAAGGCGGAAGGAGTGGGATGGAAAAGGGAATGGGATGCTTACTTCTGCAGTTGGAACTCGGGGTGGCCTCCGAATCCGATCAGCACGTCGTAAAGCTTCTGGAGCGTCGCCACGGTTTCGTCCTGAAACGGATCGCCCGTTCGCAGCTCCCCCAGCTGCTTCCGCCGCTCGTACTCGCCTTGCGGGCCCGCTCGGAAGACCTTGACTTCAGGAGCCGAGGCTGGAAGAGCATCGCCAGACGACGCTGCCGAGCTCCAGAATCTTCGTTGACTGAACCCGCTATAAGACCACCGTTGATTCAACCCGTTATAAGACCACCGCTGACTCAACCCGTTAAGAGCGCACTCCGGTACAACTACAGCTGCACTTGTTCTACGGTCAGACAAGTTTGCCGGTACTAAGCTTCTCGTATGTCGCACTGTACAAGCTGAATGTTGACTCCATTCTTGCACTGCTTCTGGTCCGGCTATTGCTCTCTGGTCGGCGAGAATCAGCCTCCGGGGGAACGTTATGCCCTCTATCAGCCTAGCTAATCTCCGAAATCTGGACATGACTGTTACAATGCAGGTCTTGATTGCGCTATAGTCCTGCGGTGGAGCCTGGTTTCGGTCTGTCGTTTCAACTGAAGCCTGATCACTATTGATCAGCCAGCGTTGTTCCCCGTAGCCCACAACCTATCCTAACGAGCAGCATGATGGTAACGGGTCGATGGATGACCGTCAGCGGCGTCAGAAATGACGAGCTTCAACAAACACTTAGCTAACAAAACCGTTTATAATAGCGGAACGGATGTGGTGCGATGGCATTTGTGCATAGAGCGAATCCGCAATTCGGCTGCAAGCAGTTGTGAGTGTCCTACAATGAACGACGCAGCTGTGAACGAGCCGTGGAAGCACGGAGCGACAATGTATGTGATGAGTGATGTTATTGCAGCCTGACAGGCGACGGTACAGTATGAGAAACTCGCCAGTCCTAGGCTCAAAATGCTCAATCAAGCTCGCGCTAGCCCCATGGTCCGTCACAAAACGAGCGTCAGGAAGACTAGGCGCTTGTGAATCAGAACTAGCTGCAATTATGGCTCCAGGTGGTTCACAAAACAGCATCGCGCCATTGTTTCAGATTCAGGGCGTCGGGAAAGGGGCAGTTGTTGGCGGGAAACAATTCCCTTTGGTCAAGTCGGCGGATGACGTGGATGCGAGAGCCCATGTGACGCAAGCACCAGATCAGCAATAGGCTGCAAAATGTCAGCACACCTCCTGGTTGGCTGGAGCCCCTTCAACGAAGCTGCAAAGCCGAGCCCCCAACATCCAAGTATTCAAACTTGATATTACACCGTAAATGTTTGCCATTATTTCAATGCAACGCGTATTTGCAACGCATATTACAAGAAGTCATCTAAAACAGATTCAGAATATTATAGACTATTTATTAAGGGAAAGAAAACTATTTTGAGTTTTATAAATTAAAATACATCATGAAACATGGCGAAATGTTCGCTATGCATGGAACGGGACTTGTATTTATTATATTCACTTCATTGGTTTAAGGGTCTACACTCTTTGCTTATAGCAGATGCGCCACTCATGCAGCGTTCTCTTGAATTCTCTGGACTGTTGTCGAGCCAGTAAGTTGACGAGTCAAACACGCCCAGTCAGCTATTCTCAAGGTTGCGATGACGAGGGTCAGCGCACTTCTGAATCCGTCGTCAAGCAATTTCTCCGAATCAGGATCGCAGCGCTCGCAGAGAGTTATCAGAAGGTTTGCGAGTTTCGCGAGCTCGGTTTGGAGCTTTTCGCCCACGTTTGTCTCCCGAACGACCTGTTATGCGCAGTCGCCGGTGTTCGCAGTACGATTTCTCTCCTGTCAGTTTTGCAGAGGGGCACTCCACGTAGATAAATTGAACAGAATGCGAAAATCAATACACAACACAGAGACAGCAACAGACATTCTACGGCTACTATAAATTTATTGCTTGCTGCACATTTTTCCTACAAAAAGGCGTGACACTTGCTTCGCTGATTTTGTTCAGCGGCTACTCTCCCTTCGCAATGCATCGACGCAAGGCGATAGCGCCTGCTAGTATAGCAGACAGCAGCGGCGTGATTCTTCTACTGCTGCTGGGCTCTGCGTTGCTCTGCTTTCCAAGCGCCACAGACGGCGCGAGACACAAGACGCTTCGGTCGCAGGGAGTGGTATCGAGCAGCCGGACCATAGCGCACACGATATGGACGTCAGGAAGCACGATTCTTCGTGGCAATGTCAACGCCGGTAAAAGGAGCAACACTGGCAGCACTACAGTTCCTGCCACTACCGCCGGTGCTACAACCGCCGCTGCTGGCTCCGCGGCTGCTACAGCCGCGGCGGCGGGCGCGGGGTGCGCGGCGTCGGCGCTGGAGGGGTTCGCGTGGTCGGCGGCTCTGGGGTCCACTGGAATGACGCTGCATTGGCGCGCAGTGGACTCGTCGCGCCTCGCCTTGGCGCTAGAAGCGGCGGGCGGCAGCGCGGCGGCGGCGGGGTGGTTCGCCGTGGGGTGGTCGGCGACGGGCCGCATGGCGGCGTCCGACGCCGTGGTGGGCAATCTGGCGGGCGGCGCCGCCGTCCAGGCGGTGTACATGAGCGGCACGGCGCAAAGTGACGTTCAGCCCACAAGCAGCTTCGATATCGGCAACGCGCAGCTCGCCACGTCACCCTCGGGATCCACCATTTTCAAGTACGTCGGGGCGCGTGTGAGATGTTGCGGCTTTTTGTTGTCGTTATGTCAGGAAAATCTACTTTGCAAAAATGAGGCTCAGGGTTTCGGGTTCAGGGTGTGAGTTCTTTTTTTTTGCTTACATCTTTTCCTCTCGGAGGCTCGGACCCACACACTCATTACTATCCCCTCCCCTCTCACACCTCCCTCCTATTAACAGGTTCAACCGCTCTGCAGGTGACGGCTCAGTGCCGGTGAGCGTGCAGGGCAGCAACACACTCGTGTGGGCGCACTCCCCCGATGGCTCGCAGTCGCTCGGCTTCCACGCCGGATATGAGTGAGTGTTCCAGTCCAGAAAGGGTGAGAGAGCGAGTGCAGATCCATTATGTTCCAAGCCAGCGATGAGTGAGTGCAGTCCCGTGGCATATAACTTCAGCCTTCAAATCTTCCCATCTTTCATTTGTTTTCTTTAGTTTCATCTTTTCCCATGCTCCTGCTTTCCCGTCTCCCTCTCTCCCTCTCCCTCTTTCCCCCTCCCGTTCTTCCCCTCTTAACCCTCCTCCCAGTGGAGCGCTGCAAGTGGACTTCGCGTGCTCCTCTGCCTCGTCCGGAGGGGGAGGGGGTGGCGGCACTGGTGGGGGCGCGGGGGGAGGCACTGGCGGAGGTGGGGGCGACTACGGGGGTGACTACAACGGGGGGAACAATGGGGGTGGTGATTACGGTGGTGGTAATGGCGGCGGTGATTATAACGGGGGGAATGGAGGGGACTACAATGGTGGAGGTGACAATAATGGGGGGAGCGGTGGTGACTATGGGGGTGGCAGCGGTGGTGGGGGGAGTGGTGGTGGCGGAGGTAGAGGTGGTGGGGGTGCTGGAGGCGGAGGAAGGGGAGGCGGTGGGGGGGACTGCAGAAGAGGGCCTGGGGGCGGACGTGGGGGACCTGGTGGGGGACAGGGAGGGCCTGGGGGCGGGCAAGGCGGATTCGGTGGGGGACAGGGGGGATTTGGAGGAGGACAGGGCGGACCTGGGGGCGGGCAGGGCGGAACTGGTGCTGGGGGCGGGCAAGGGGGAGCTGTGGGCGGCAATGGTGGTGACTACAGCAACGGAGGGGGCTACAGCGGCGGCAATGGCGGTAATGGTGGGAGGAACACAGTCGGACAAGGTGGGTACTACAGCGGTGCAGGAGGGGGGGGGAGGGGCTGGTGGTGCTGCTGCTGCTGGTGGGGGCTGTGGGGGAGGGCAAGGGCAAGGCGGGGGGCCTGGGAATGGGCAGGGCGGACCTGGGAGCGGGCAAGGGGGAGCTGGAGGAGGGCAGGGGGGACCTGGGGGGGATTATGGTGGGGGAAGCAATGGCGGAGACTATGGTGGTGGGAATGGTGGTGGTGACTATAGTGGGGGGAATGGAGGGGATTACAACAATGGTGGTGACTACAGCGGGGAGACCACTGGAGGGGGCAATGGTGGTGGCAATGGTGGTGACTATAACGGAGGGAGCTACACTGGGGACTACAGTGGGGATTACAGCGGAGGGACGGGTGGCAGTCAGGGCGGCAGTCAGGGAGGCCCATCTGGGGGCGGTATGAGTGGAGGCGGAGGCATGGGCGGTGGAGGCATGGGCGGCGGAGGCATGGGCGGCGGAGGCATGGGCGGCGGAGGCATGGGCGGCGGAGGCATGGGCGGCGGAGGCATGGGCGGCGGAGGCATGGGCGGCGGAGGCATGGGCGGCGGAGGCATGGGCGGCGGAGGCATGGGCGGCGGAGGCATGGGCGGCGGAGGCATGGGCGGCGGAGGCATGGGCGGCGGAGGCATGGGCGGCGGAGGCATGGGCGGCGGAGGCATGGGCGGCGGAGGCATGGGCGGCGGAGGCATGGGCGGCGAAGGCATGGGCGGCGGTGCTGCTGGCGGGGGAATGGGAGGGCCTGGGGGAGTGACTGGCGGAGGAGGCATGGGCGGTGGTGCTGCTGGTGGTGGCATGGAAGGGTCTGGGGGGATGGGCGGAGGCGGAGGGATGGGCGGTGGTGGGGGGATGGGAGGAGGCGGGGGCATGGGAGGAGGCGGGGGCATGGGAGGGGGCGGAGGAATGGGAGGGCCTGGGGGTGGCATGGGCGGAGGAGGGATGAGGGGAGGGGGAGGGATGGGCGGAGGTGGAGGCATGGGGGGAGGAGGCATGGGGGGAGGAGGCATGGGGGGAGGAGGCATGGGGGGAGGAGGCATGGGGGGAGGAGGCATGGGAGGGGGCAGGCCTTAGCGGTTCACAGTGGACAGGCAGGCAGGAAACCAAGTGCCTCAAGCAACTCAGTCTCAGTCAAGGCACAGAGGCGGAGAAAGCCGAGGGACAAGAAACTAGTGAAGGGAATGGCAAAGGGAATGATAAGGGAATGCCAATGGGAGTGATAAGGGAATGTCAAGGAGATGACCAGGGGAGGGGACTAGCCAGTGAATGGATGAGCTTTGATTCACCTCAAGCCCCATTGCACGTGCTGCTGAGGTGCATCAAAGCCCATCCTCCCACTCCATGCTTGTTTGTGATTACTGGCTTTTTTGTTGTAGCTGGTTCTAGATCGTTCTTCTATTGCTGTCTGCTTGTTCTTGAAGTGAGAAATTTATGTGTGTGCTTTCATCCATGAAATATGAATGCATTTATCTTATAAGTAATAAGTTTACACATGGTTGAATTACTTTGTCCCCGTCAGCACCAATTAAACTTGGTGGGAATGCAGGAAATGCGATACCGTAAGTTGCTCGCATTGCACAGAAACTGTACACGCTTCGACACGGTCCATGAAATCCTATTGTGAGCTTCAGTGCACTACATTGTAGCGAAGAAGCCATGGAGTGAGCTTTCTTTAGTTACCACCTGTAACCTCCTGCAGCCACTCGTACTTGGGCCACTTGGGTCCTTTATTCCCACAGGCACTGGTATTCTTGCAGCGCAGCATCCAGGAGTTGGGCCACAGCCAGGCTAGCTGCAGGCAGCGCATGACATGAGGCACATCAGCAGCTTTTGAGAATTCTCAAAAGTGACTCCCAAAGAGGCACATGAGCAGCATTTCATCAGCTGCAGTCACTGGGCCACTTGGGCTCGGCACACCAGCAGTTCATTCATCAGCTGCAGTCACTGGGCCACTTGGGCTCGGCACACCAGCAGTTCATTCCTGTTGCATAAGACTTCCTGCAGTGATCCCTTTCCGCCTTTCTCCCTCACTCGTCTCGAAATCGCACCCTCTCATTGCTTGGCTTGAACACTTCTATCCCCTCTAAGAGCTCCCCCGATAGCCACTTCCACTTGCTCTCGTCGTCCAAGTACCCGATACAGTAATAAGTACACTCCGGCTGGTTGGGGACCTCGTCTTTTGTACCACACCAGGGCGGCCACACGGCTGGCATCTTTTGTCTCAAGTGCCGCGTGGCCTTGCTGGGCTTCTCTACGTCGGCTTGAGTAGGAGGAGAGGAGCAGGGGTGGAGAGGCGGGGCTGTGATGCTGGCGCTGTCCTCTAGGGCACTGGTGGCGTACTTAGCGAGCAGGATAGCCCAGAAGAGACGCCGTCCCTCCCATGTGCAGAGAGTGCTGCATGAGGGGAGAGGATAAGAGAAGCCCGAGACGAAGTGAGGAATAGAGAAGAAAGTTGTGTGAGAGTGGGAGAAGTACCCTCAAGGGGGATCGGAGGAGCTGTGATGCACAGGGTGCTGCAGGGAGGAGAAGGATAAGAGAGGAAACAGGGGGGGAAAGACATGAGAAAATGGTTAGAGAGGGGGGGAACGACCCAGGGGCATCAGGGGAGGCGGAGCTGTGATGCTGGCGCTGTGCTCTAAGGCACTTTGGGGTACTTGACGAGCAAAATAGCCCAGAATAGCTGGCACCCCTCCCACGTGCACAGGGTGCTGCAGGATAGGAGCGGGATGAGAGAGCAGGGACGAGAGAGGAGGGATGAGAGAGGAGGAATGAGAGAGGAGGGATGAGAGACGAAACAAGTGTGGGAAGAAATGAGAGAAATTGAGGGGGAATGGTGCGGGGAGAAACTGCGATGAACCGGGCAAAGTTAGTTACAGGACGGAGAGGGTGTGTGGGGGAGGGGAAGGGAGGGGCAAGGAGACTGAGAAGACAACAGGGATGGAGGGGAGGAAAACGACCCCTATCACTGCATGTTAGTAAATAGGCGACTTACCTGGCAAAGTCATTTGCGGCAGCAACAATCTCTCGTGCCCGTTGGTTGTTGGCGCGGGCCCACTGGATTTGCGAGTAGGGGTTGCTGAAGTAGCGGTGGGTGGGCAGGAAGTGCTTCATTGGAAGTAATAGGTATCGGTTGTGTGACTTACCTGGCAAAGTCATTGGCAGCCGCAACAATCTCCCGTGCCCGTTGGTCGTTGGCGCGGGCCCACTGGATTTGCGAGTAAAGGTTGTTGAAGTAGCGGTGGGTGGGGAGGAAGTGCTTCATAGGGCACAGCAGCGGGTCGAAGAACTGATAGTACTCGCTGGCCTGGCGGATCAGAACCTGTGCGCACATCAGAAAAGGTGGAGGAAGGAAAAGGAAGTGAGAAGTGGCGGTGGGTGGGAAGGGTGGGAGTCATGTGGCACAGCAGCGGGTGGAACAACTGATAGTACTCGCTGGCTTGGCAAATCAAAACCTGTAAACACGTTATGAAGGGTGGGGGAGGGAAGCAGGAGGGATACGGGTTGGAACAAGAGGAGGAGATGGAGGAGAAGAGGAACGAAGGAGGGAGGGGGGGGAAATGGGGTTGTAGGAGGATGAGGTTACTGGCATGAATGAGTAGGGCTTTTGATACTTGTCAAGCACTCTGGTAGTGCTATCTGGCTTGGCACATGAGTACATGTGGGGAGAGGAGAGAGAGGTGACACACCATGAATATGTGTGTGGGAGCGAGTGTGCATGAGAGAGGAAGCAATTATGGGGGAGAGGGGGGATGGGAAAATGGGGCGAGGAGCAAAATAGAGAGCACTACAACAGGGAGCCAAAATGAGACTACTTGAATACCTGATTGCTCGCCAGAATCCCACACGTCCGGCCGCTCCCTGTCCCGCCGTCCACATCCAGCTCATACTTAAACCCCTGCAGCTCCTCGGGCTTTAATCTCCCGCCCAGCCGCACCCCATCCGCCTCCAAGCTCTCACGCCATCTCACATCCACACCGCTCATGACGCGCGCGTCTAGCAGATCCGGGCGGGCATCTGCCATGCGGTGCACGCGGAAGCGAGGGCTGGCGCGCCAGTGCATGGGCATGGCGATGTGGTAGTTTGTCATCCCGCCCCGGAACACCGCCCGGCCCTGCTTTTGCTCCCAAGGGACCTGAGGTGTGGGGGTGGGGAAAAGGGAGGGGAGGATAGTCCGTTAATGAGGCTCTGATTTGCCCTTTGCATGGATATGAAGCGATTGGAGATAGGGTGATTGATTGGAAATCGCACAATATTTACTGTGTTTGCTGAAGTATTCAAGCACTTTTGTCCAGTATACTCACCTGAACTGTACAGTGGAGTCGGGGTAGCGAGTATCGAGGTTTCAGGTTTAGCGGCGTGGGAAAGAACAGTCACAGATCCGTGCGCAAATATTTCCAGCTGACCAACTTCACTTCAGATCCACTGCGTAAAATACGGTCGCACGCACCTTATCCTCAACGTCTCGGAAGTAGCTCTTGGACAGATCGACGGGGTCGGGATACGGAATATCGAGCGAGCCGGGGACGACGTGCGGACTGAACAAAGGCATTCCCGCGCGATCCTGCCGCGCGACCGAGTCCGCCTTGCTGGTTGGCAGATCGCATGTGTTTATAAACAGCTCCGCGTTCAGGCTGTACAGTTTATACGCGCTAATGGCGTCCTGGATCATTTTGACGGTAAGGACGAATCGGCGCATGCGGTACCAGTCGAACTGGAAAGCCCCCAGGCGGAAGAAAACTTTTCCGCGCACGATTCGAATGTGCCCGGAGCACGATAGGATCTGGTCGGACCCAAGGGAGGGGGAGGGATGGTAAAGGAGGAAACGGAATGAGACGCGGGGGTGCCGGGAGGGAGGGGAGAACGGGGAGGGAGAGGACGGGAGGAGAAGGGGGTGGTATTGGGAGAATAGAAGCAGAAGACGGTCGAGTAAGAAAATCATATAGTTTACAGCGTAGTAAGGAGAGGAGGGCGTGGCGGAATGCGAAATGAGAGCACCCTTTTTGAAGTTTCGAGAACACGTAGCGCTACTATTGTCACCGTTATGCTCGTGATCGCCCTCACATACATTTGCCATGGTTCCCATTTGGTGCAGAATTTCCGCGGATATCATTCCCCGCGCGCCCATCCCCGCGGTGACGCCCGGAATCCCCATCCACGGGCGCAGGTAGTTGTGCGCCAGGCACGCCAACTTCCGCACGGTGGCGGAACCACTGCGCGCGCTGAGTGCGGGAAACTCCGCCAGGTCCGCCACGCACTCGTCCGCGTCTGCGCGCGTGTCGGGGAAGCCGCACGAGCCCTGCCCCGACTCGAACACGCGGGGGAAGGCGGAGGAGGGGAAGCCAGCAGCGGCGGCGGAAGCGCCTTCCACCTTGGTGGCGCCTCCGCGTCTGCGGTCGGCGCTGCTGCCGGCGCTTTTCACGGCGCGGATGGCGGCGGTTGGAAGGGACTGCAGGATTGGGGTCTCATCGGACTGGAAGCGCTCTAATCGTCTTCGAGGGCTGTCGTCAGGCTGAAGGGATGTTGGGGGTTCGGGGAGAGGAAAAGCGAGGATTGTGGACTCAGGGAGAGTTCGACGAGCCAAGAGGAGGTGACGGTGGAGCTATTTGACGGGAACACGCGTGGAAGGCACGTGCACTCAAAATCATCGAAACGCGACGATAATTTCTCTACTTGCGTCACTTTTGAGATTTCTCAAAAGTGCTCAAACACTCGAGTGCGCTCTCTATGTCTGAACTGGTCCAGCTCGTTTTGAGGCCCCTATATTTGAGGAGCTAATTTGTAAAGCGCCTCAAGAGAAATTCGTTGTTCGAGAGCGAGCCGCTCCACAGCTCAAGAGCGCTCACCATGTCTGTGAAGCGGTACAGCTCGCCGAGCTGCTGCCAGAGCGACCCTCATGTGTTTTTCATTCAATGATTCAGAAAACACAGTCGGGGAGATAAACTTTTCCTGAAAAATGGTGTGTTTGAGTCGAGTCAGTACAAAACTGTCAGAATGTTTCACGCGTCCTGTGATAAGTTCGAGAGCGCTCACCATGTCTCTGAAGCGGGACAGCTCGCCGAGCTGCTGCCCGAGATGCTGCTCAAGTTGCTGCCCGAGGGACCGTCGCCAGTGCGACGCGGCGAGCGACAGCCATAGCAGCAGCGTCACTGGCACTAGCGCAGGCGATATTCGCGACATACTCCGCCCCGTTAAGCGGCGAAGTGGTGAGCAGGGCCGTCGCATGGTTCTTGCTGTGGATGCCTAATGACGCAGCGATGCACCGGATGTTAGGGGTCTCCGTGCCTTTCACGTAAAGACTCTGCGAACTGTCTTGGATTAATGCCTGTAAGTCGCGACAGGAAACTAAAATAACACTGTCGTGCTGACTGTCGTGCTTGTATCTATCTGTAGGTGCCTTCCTGAGATCGGGCCCCATTCGGCCCCATTCGGCCCCATCCGAAGTTCCGCGAGGTGCTTGAATCTGATGGAGGATCAATACTGTAGGTGCTATGGACCCAAACCGCGCGGCGCGCAGAAATTGCTTTCTCTTTCGTCGATATCTTCGCGAGATTCTCACGTGTGGTGGTAGCTGATTACGCCTACGCGAACTGTGCGGAGACAGTCACATTTCGCTGCGTCTGCTTTCGTTCTGCATCACTTTCTTTCGCCGTGCAGCCACTCGGTCTTGTAGTGCTGCCAGCCCACACGCAGGGGGATAGCTGGCGATTCAGGTGTTGGGGTTGTGGCGAGCCTGGCCCGACTGAGGTGTTTTGTTTGTCATGGGATTGAGGTGGGGAATATGCCAGCCTGCCCACACTTGGCCCCTCACTCCTCACCTTCACCAGCCTAACTCCACTAGAAGACCGCGCGATTGCTGGTAAAGATGAGATCGCCTTGCCCCTTGACTAGTAGGTTATATATGGCACATGTATGTTCCAACTGTTGAGTACTTCCCCTAGGTTCTAGGTTGAGAAGAAAATTATAGCATAATCAACTAAAGTGAAGCCCAGTTACAGTATTGGCATACACTGTTGGGAATAAATACATTATTGTGGGTAAACCAGAAATCAAAATGTAGATGCTTAGGGCGTGTTTTTACGGCATCTTATTGGGCAAACCTCTAATCAAAATTGTGTCTATCAAACAGAATTTCCCCTAAACCCCAGATTCTTTACCATGCCTGCGACAAGTGGGTGGTAAATAAGCGTATGCTTTGATGTGACAGGCTTCAACACAGTGAACATTAGGAAAATTCTGAAAACCGACTGTGCTTCATGATACGATCTGAAAATTGCTAGAGCGCAGCGGAAGGCTCTAGAGGAATAACGACGTCCCTAAGGCGGGGCAGTGGTCACTCAGAGGTAGCTTTCCTGGTTTGTAGCATGGTGCCAAAGTGTCAAACTCATATGCTATAGTCTGTGTAGGCTATAGTGGGTTAGGCAGTATAGGGTACAACACTTTTAGTTTTTCCTACTTGTACCCACCTGCTTGCTAGTTCATTCATTCCTCATTCTTCCACATGGTATAGAGCAGGTTCCCTAGTGGGAACGTTTCCTAGGGCCCACCAAATATCGATTTTTTTTCCTACCCAGAACGCGCTTCGCCCCTGCCTGAGTCGCGCCCCTTGTGCCTACCCTCCCGTCGCGTCCCCTACCCTTAGTGGCCCGTCGCGCTCCCCTACGGCCCCGTAGCGGCCCCTCTCACGGCCTCTCACGGCCCCTCTCACGCGGCAGCCTTGCAGCCCCCTCGCGGCCCCTTCGCGGCCCCTTAACGGCCCCTTCGCGGCCCCTTAACGGCCCCTTCGCAAGACCCTTCACGGCCCCCTCGCGGCCCCCCTTCGCGGCCCCTTCGCAGCCCCCTCACGGCTCCCTTCGCGGCCCCTTCGCGGCCTCACCCCGTCGCCAATCGCGGCCCCGCCCCGTCGCCAGGCGCGGCCCCCGCCGCGTCGCCCCCGCCTCGTCGCGTCGCCCCTGTGGGACCCGCGAGGCGCGGCTCCTGTGCGTCGCGACGCCCCTGCGGGACCTGCGTGGCGTCACCCCTGCCCGCCGCGGCACCCTGCCCTAACCCGAACCTGGAGGAGCCGCCACTGCAGCAGCCGCCCCTGGAGCAGCCGCCACAGCAGCAGCCGCCCCTAGAGCAGCCTCCCCTGCAGCAGCCGCCCGTGGAGCAGCCGCCCTTGGAGCACCCGCCCCTGAAGCAGCCGCCCCGGAACACCTGCCACTGCAGCAGCCACCCCTGGAGCAGCCGCCCCTGCAGCAGCCGCCCCTGGAGCAGCCGCCCCTGCAGCAGTCGCCCCTAGAGCAGCCGCCACTGCAGCAGCCGCCCCTGGAGCAGCCGCCACTGCAGCAGCCGCCCCTGGAGCAGCTGCCACTGCAGCAGCCGCCCCTGGAGCAGCCGCCCCTGTAGCAGGCGCCCCTGGAGCAGCCGCCACTACAGCAGCCACCCTTGGAGCAGCCACCCCTGCAGCAGCCGCCCCTCGAGCAGCCGCCCCTGCAGCAACCGCCCCTGGAGTAGCCGCCACTGGAGCAGCCGCCACTGCAGCAGCCGCCCCTCGAGCAGCCACCCTTGCAGCAGCCGCCCCTGCAGCAGCCGCCCCTGCAGCAGCCGCCCCTGGAGCAGCCGCCACTCCAATAGCCGCCCCTGGAGCAGCCGCCACTGCAGCAACCGCCCCTGGAGCAGCCGCCACTGCAGCAGCCGCCCTTGGAGCAGCCTCCCCTGTAGCAGCCGCCCCTTAAGCAACCGCCCCAGGAGCAGCCGCCACAGCAGCAGCTGCCCCTAGAGCAGCCACCCCTGTAGTAGCCGCCCCTAGAGCAGCCGCCCCTGCAACAGCCGCCCCTGGAGCAGCCGCCCCTACAGCAGCCGCCCCTGGAGCAGCCACCCCTGCAGCAGCCGCCCTTGGAGAAGCCGCCATTGCAGCAGCCGCCCCTGGAGCAGCCACCCCTGCAGCAGCCGCCCCTAGAGCAGCCGCCCCTACAACTGCCGCCCCTGGAGCAGTTTCCCCTAGAGCAGCTGCCCCTACAACGGCCGCCCCTGCAGCTGCCGCGGAGCCCTCGCCCTACAGTGGTAGCTGCCTCGCCGTTGCCGCCATCGTACGCCTGCCCTTCTCGCCACTGGTGAGCACTGCCCTGCCCTTACTGCTGTTACTACTGCTCTTACTGCTACTAATCTTTCTACTGCTACTACTGCTCCTGGCGTGGCCAGATGCAGCTCCAGCGTCGTCCGCGTGAGTCCCTTACCCCCCAACAGCTTCGTGAGTGGTACGCTACTTGGGGTTATAGGGGTGGCCGCGCTGCGACTACTGCTATTGCTACTTCGGCTGCCATTGCTCCTGCTGCTCCTGGCGTTGACCAGATGCAGGTCCAGCGACGTCCGCATGAGTCCCTCACGCCCCAGCAGCTTCGTGAGTGGTACGCTACTTGGGGTTGTCGAGGTGGCCGTAGTGGGAGTCATCCTGGAGTGAGTAGTTTGGCAGCTGCTTGTAGTGGCCAGGTGCAGCTGTAGCGTCGTCCGTGCGCGGTCCTTTCGCCCCAGCAGCTTCGTGAGTGGTACGCACAGCGTGGCGGGTCACGGGGTACTGCTCGCTGTCCGTACGTCATTTGCACTGGTGCTCCGACTGGCCAGCCTTGCGGGACGTTTGGTCACGCAGAGTCCCGCTGCTTCGCCCGTCTGAGCGACGCCTGGCGTACATAGTTTGGCGACGCGGCTGAGCTCCCTGACAGGGTGGAGCTGCTTAGGCTGCGAGTAGATATCTATACTCTTGACTATGATGCTATCCTCACTGCCATGTATGCATTGCCTACTAGTGATGAGAATGACTGTTACCTGTGTGTTCCGCCTGACCCGGGCATTGAGGCTGCTCCTCTAGGTGCTGGTTAGGCTGCTGCTCTAGGTGCTAGTGCGTCTGCTGCCCCAGGTGCTGGTGAGTCTGCTCTCTCAGGTACCACGTCGGCTCAAGCCTTACACACCGTCACTCTTAACTCGGGTGCTTCCCGCTCCTTCTTTCGAGACCGCACCACGCTTATGCCGCTTAGTCGGCCAGTTGCGGTCTCCTTGGCGGACCCCTCTGGGGGTCCTGTCCTTGCTCGCTTCTCCACTGTCTTACCGTGCTCGGCAGCCCCCACTGGCACCTAGTCAGGTCTCTACCTCCCCTTGTTCTCTACGAACTTAGTGAATGGTGCTGATCTACATGATGGGGGGGTTGACCAGTTCACTCCTGCGAGTCAGCGAGTGACCCACTGCACGTGTGCTCGGACGGGCCGACACTTGGCCACGTTTACCCGTCGGCCGGGGTCGAGCCTATACACACTGACTACTGAGTCTCCTCCGGTTGTTGAGTCTGGTTAGGTAGCTGCGCCGGGTCAGGTGTTTGCTGCAGCGTCCAGGTCTGGTCCTGAGTCTACTCCGTGCTCGTGTCGTCTTCTGTCCCACCAGACTCTCCTATGGCACCACCGCCTTGGTAACCCCTCCCTACCTCGTCTCCAAGGCATAGCCTCCTGTAACCTTGTCTCTGGTCTCCCCCGGTCCCTCCCTCCCCTCCCTCCGAGGCCTGCCCCTACCTACGTTCCCTACGTCGAGGGGCGGCAGCGCGCCGCCCCTCACTCCTCCGACAAAGGCGCTGCTGCAGACTCTTCACATGGACGTGTGGGGCACCGCCAGCGTCCATGGCGAGGGTCACGAGCGTTACTTCCTGTTGGTGGTTGACGACTACTCGCGTTACACCACGATGTTCCCCTTGCGCAGCAAGGGCGACATCGCAGATGTGTTGATCGACTGGATCCACGCAGCTCGTCTCCAGCCCAGAGAGAGTTTCGGCTCGGACTTTCCTGTTATGCGTCTGCACTCTGACAGAGGCGGGGAGTTTTCCTCTGCCTTTCTAGGAGCCTTCTGTCGTGCACAGGGCATCCGCCAGACCTTCACGCTTCCGGCCTCTCCACAGCAAAATGGGATTGCTGAGCGCCGCATTGGCATGGTCATGGACGTTGCTTGTACGTCCATGATCCATGCGGTTGCTCCCCATGTTCTGTGGCCGTTTGCGGTTCAGTACGCCGCGCATCAGCTCAACCTTCAGCTGGGTCTCCTTGCCAGAGACCTCCCCCGCCTTGCGGTGGACCGGGAAGGTTGGTAATGCGTCTGCGTTTCGTGTCTGGGGATCTCGGGCGTTTGTCTGCCACTTATCTGCGGACAAGCTGTCTCCCCGT